CATCCAGCACCTTCTCCAGTCTTCTCCTCCAAGACAAATACCCAGACCCCCCAACAGAAACTCCTTTCTCGCAGAATTTCCATCACTCCCCCACTGCAGGTCTTCTCCCATGCAAATCCCTTCCTTTAGCATCTCTGATTTTCTGGGACCCCCAAGATCCCCAGTACTTTACAAGCCCAGCTGTTCTGCCCTGACCTCCCTTGTGTACCCCAAGAGGTGATTCTAGGATTCCAAATCAAGCAGGGCCTTGAGTCCACTCCACATCTGCTTGGCCCCCGTGTCCCTCTCTTCTCCATTCCTGTCCTTGGAGCACACCAAAAGAACCATGAATCCCTTCAGGACCCTCACTCCATGACCCCCATCCCCTTCAAACACAAGAATCCCAATCCACGTCCTATCCCATTGAGTGTCACTCACCCCCCCCCCGCTCAGCCCTGCCCCAGCCTGACCCCAAATGTATCCCCGAGACCCCTCACCCCAGAGAATGCCATTCCTGGTTCACAGGACCCCAAACTCTCACAGGATCCCTTCCAGCCTAACCCTTTCATTCGCTCTTTGACCTGGAAACCCAAATTCCCCCTGCTCTCCCAGCCCCAATCCAGGACCTTAAATCACACCCAGATTCCCCAGCTCAGATGCTCCTCGTGGCCTCTCAGACCTGATTCCCCACATCTGCATCCTTTTCAGAACCTGAAAGGCCCAACCCAGGCCCTAAATGTTCCCTCAGCCTGGGGTCCCCTTAACCTCCCAAATCCTTCCTCCCCCAGCCTCTGAGCCACCCCCTTGGGGCCTTTATCCCTGGTTTTTAGAATCTCTTTCTCCTCTCAGAATTCACAACCTCCTGTCCCTCAGTCCAAGACCCCAAATCATCCCAAACACCCGACTCCCACACCACATGCTGCGTCAGACGCTGCCTTGTCTCCTACCCTGATCCCTGATCCCTGGGGTCGGCTCTGCTCTCAGCATAACATCACCTCACCCAGAACAACTACTATCCCACAATCCCAGGGACAATTCAGGAGTGCCAGGTCCTTCCCAACACCCACAGCCCATGTCCCCAGCCTGGTCCTCCGCCCCCGGGCCCCTCCAACCCCACAGCACAGCTCCCTCTCCTAGCGCAGCCCCCAGTCCCATTGCTAACTTCCACCCATCCTGACTCAGTACCCCTCTCACAGGTGCTGTGCCCCCCATCCAGTCCCGGATCACAGGAGGCTGGGAGTGTGAGAAGCATTCTCAACCCTGGCAGGCGGCTCTGTATCATGACAGCAACTTCCAGTGTGGGGGCGTCCTGGTGCACCCCCAGTGGGTGCTCACAGCCACCCACTGCAAGACCAAGTGAGCAGGAGCAGGGGGTCTGGGGAGGGGGGCGTCTGTGCTCCCACAGGAATGGTCAGTCAGGGCCATTCCCCTGGGATCACCTCAGGGGAGGCTGGGGGCTGAGGAAGAGAAGGATGGGACTGGTCCAGGTCCCACGGAGAGAGGCAGGGCTGGGACTGGACGACCCCAGGGAAGCCCTCCCATGGCTGCCTGGTCTCTCTCTGTGTCTCCCCGTGTAACTATCTCTCTGTCTCCATGTCTCCGTGTCTCTCCCTGTCTCTGTCCATCTCTGGGTCTCTCAGCTGTCACCCCTGTCTCTGTAGGTCTCACTTTCCATCTCTCTGCCCCGTCTCTGTCTCTGGTCTCTGCCTCACTCCCTCTCTCCATCACCGCTGAGCACAGTCAACCCCAAGATGGGACTGCGGGGGACCGCCAGGGAAAAGGATGCGATCATCCCCAACATGTGTGTGTGTCTGGGGGGGCTTCTCACACTGCCCAGCCCCTCCCTCCAGGACAGTCGTCCATCCAGGGGGACACAGGGGAGGGCTGGTTTCAGCTGGCGCTGGTGGGGGCAGTGGAGGAAGGAGGAGGAGAAGTAAGGAGCAAGGGTGAGAGGTTCTGAGGAGGGAAGGGGGACGCCCACCTTGGGCTGGGGACCAGGCCACACGGCTGCTGGGGAACCAGCCCCACAGCCCCAGCTGCAGCTGAGCTGGTCTCAGGACCCCTCCTCCCTCCTGCCCCACCGCCCGCCCTCCCTCCCTCTCCCCCTCACACTCTGTCTCCCCCTCCCCTCCTCTCCTCTGTTTCTCCTCCGCTCTTTCTACTTCCTGCGTCCCTGCTCACTGTGTCTCTTTCTCCTTCTCCCGCCTCTTCTGTCTTTTCTCTCCTGCTTCTTCCCTGTGAGGAGTTCTCGCCGTCTGTTTTCCTCCTCCCATCTCCTTCGTGCTCTCTCTAGCTCACTGTTCACCTGCCTTCCTCATTCCCTGTATTTTTTTAAGTTTTCTCTTTTTCACTCCATTTCTCTTTGTCTGTGGGTCTGCCTTTCATATTGTCACATCCTTTTTTTTTTCTCACTGTCTCTATTTCTCCATGACTCTAAATCTTTCCTTCTCTCTCTGTCTCTGTCTCTGTCTCTCTCTGTCTCTGTCTCTCTCTCTCTCTCTGTCTCTCTCTCATTTTCTCCTTGTTTCTCTTTGTCTCTTTGGGACCGTCTCCCAGGCTCCCTGCCCCATCTCCCTTCCCCCCTCCTCTATCCTCCTCATTCCCTCCATCCCCCTCTCTTCCCAGCAATTATCAGATCTGGCTGGGTCTCCACAGCCTGTTTGAGGATGAAGACACAGTCCAGTGCTTCTGGGTCACTCACAGCTTCCCACACCCTGACTTCAACCTGAGCCTTCTGGAGAACCACACCCGCCTTCCAGGAAAAGACTACAGCCACGACCTCATGCTGCTCCGCCTAGCACAGCCCGCCCAGATAACCAATGCCTTGAAGGTCCTGGCCCTGCCCACCCAGGAACCCGTCCTGGGGAGCACCTGCTATGCCTCCTGCTGGGGCAGTGTCAGACCAGAGAAGTGTATGTCAGGGGCCAGACAGTGCAGCCTGGACCCCAGACCCCTGGGTGTAAGGGAGGAGGGCGGGGACCTGCACTCCAGGGTCTGAGGGAGGAGGGCTGAGGACACGTGGGTGTCTCTGTTTTCCTGGCCCGTATTCACGTACCCAGATGATCTCCAGTGTATGGACCTCAAACTCACGTCCAGTGACCTGTGTGACACAGCCTACACTAAAAAGACTACAGAGTTCATGGTGTGGGTTGGGCTCTTGAAGGGCAGCAAATACTGCATGGTGAGACAGGCTTTCACCCAAAGGCCTTGAAGGAAGAGAAGGGAGGTGACCATGATTCTGGGCTGAAACATCAGAGCTAACCAGGCATCTGTCCCACTGCTTCCCAGCTGTAGCCCCCCTCCACCAGTGCCTCAGCTCTCTCCCTGGTGCCCCCTTCCCCTTCCCACATCCCCATCCAGGCACCACCTGCATCTCACTCCCCCACATCACCCTTCACCCCTTCCTCCATGCAACAGGTGTTCCTGAGCATCTGTGTGCCCAGCACTGTCCTCCCCCTTCAAGAAGACAGAAGTGACCAGACAGAACAGTCCCCTCACACAGCCCCGCTTCTGGCGAGAGGAGACAGACAGAAACAGTGAACATGACACAGAAGAGATGGTGCGTGTCAGGAGGTGATGGTGCTCTGGGATGGGAGGAGAGAGAGCAGAGCCAGGGAGGTAGCCGGTGTGATGGGGGAGGAGACCTCCTGCGGAAGGTGAGGTGGAGCAGACACCTGCGGCAGGTGAGGGGGAGCCGTGTGCAGTCTGGGGAA